TATTCTCGTTCCTATCTTGTTATTCCAATTTAGGGGTAATTTATTTTTTTCATGCGAATTATTGAGGCGAATAATGCTGAGTATTTTATAATCAACTTTGTGTGGTGTTGTATGAGAACGATGTTATCAACTCGTTCCGTTGATAAGTCTTGAATTGCTTTTTGAAGGCTCTTTTCACATTTTTCCAATTGTCACCAGCTTTTTATGGTGAGAATCGAATCCGTCCATCTTCACGGGTGTCGTATAATGCTATAATAAGATGAATCATTGTTAATCCACGAGAATTGTTATCGTGAAATGGTCTTGCGTTGTTTTTTATGTAAAGGTTAATTAAAATATATTTTTAAGCAAGAAGAGAGGGAGAAAGAAAAAAAACTGCTTAGTTACAATTACGGACACATACTTACAATATATATAATAATCATGCCAGGTCTAACATATCCCTGTTAATTGTTAATATCTGTAATTGCAATTGAGTCCAAATGTACTCTGTTCATGTAAAAGAAATGATAACAGACAAACAGAGGAACGAGAAAGTAACTGTGAAATTATTCTCTTTTTAACTATATGACGTACAATCGTGACGGATTAAGAATACGGAATGTCACCACCCCTATTCATCCCGTGGGTGTCGTAAGAGCCGACTTAGGGAGCAAACTACGCAGGACAATAGCACTGTAAAGAGAAGAAAAACTTGACACAAACCCTATACCACCCCGTCTGGCCATCGTGGTATACTGGGTTAAAACCTCATTTCTAAGGAGATGCCTATGTCCAGCAGTGGACTGTTATAGACTGTTGATGATGATGATAATGATGATGCGGAACAATCTCTTAAAAGATAACTTTAAATGGGCATGTGTGTGTATTTACACCAAAAACTTGTTCTGCCACACACTATTAATACTTCTTCTGGTAAAAACTCATTTTTAAAGCAAAATATTTTTGTATTCAAACGACAAACAAAACTAAGAATGTGCTTCTAGCAAAGATTATACAATAACTGCCTTTATGAAGCAGCAAAGCCCACAAAGCCTGATAAATCCGACGACAAGCTAGGCTAAAATTCGCGAAGATTTTAGACGGAGTCGCTTGCGTGTCTTGTAAATAGAGCATTATTATATACTGCAAGGATTGTGTGTGGGAGAAGTTCGTAATTTAGTAGTAGTAGTTAGTTTTGGTCACACATTCATAAACTAACTTATACACAGAACTACAAGAGAAGACGCAAGTAAGCTAAGCACGCTAAAAAATAAGTTGTTTTTTTGTAATAAAATTTGTTAACGCACACTTATATAACATAGAACTAGCTTAGTATTAGCTAATGCGGATGGACTGGAGAGTTTATGTGTGAAAGGGACATTTTCTTTTCTTAAAATTGCCTATCTGTTTCACCAACTTTTTCTTTCATATTGAACTTCCATCTTTCATTCCTGAATTGCCCGGTTGGAGTCCATAAATATCACCTTTAATTTGTAAATGGGTTTAAATGTTTCAGCAAAATGGGGGTATTTAACGCGCTTTTGCTTACCTCTTCTGCGTATTTACAAGTTAATGAAAAGTGTGAACATTTAAAAAATAAACGTAATATGTTTATGATAATGTTATGTTTATAATATGTACCTACATAAATTTTATTTGTTTAGAATTGGTTGACTACGACGTCATCTCCACTTGTGACGTGACCTAACTTGTGCCACAGGAAACTTGATAAGATATAGATGGGGTACAAACAACAGGAGCTGACGAACAAAGCATCCGCTTTAATAAATTTCCATGTACATAAAGTGCAAATAATGTTTAATTTATTAACAAGAAAACAATGTACTGTTATATAATTTGTACTGTAATGTAACAATGTAATGTAATTTGAAAAGGAGGAGGTGCAAAATCCTTTTTTTTTTTTTTTTTTGACGGTGTGGAAAATCCCTTCGGATCTCCTGTTCCTCGGGGACTCAGGAGCCAGGAGTATGTGGTGATTCTATTAAAAACCACCCCGACAGCCGGCTTCAGGTGTCCTACTCTGGAGAGGAACCGGACCATGTTATTACAGGTCTTATGTTCAAAATCCTACTAAATATTTTGTGTTAGTCACACGATATCTTTGTTGTTCGTGTATCAGTAGTGATTATTTTTTTTCTTTTTCAGATCACTTGTTAATTAGATAAATAGCATTGAAGTGTCTACTTTTAATGTGTACTTTAAAACTCTACCTTAAATATATGTCTACGAGTATATATCGATGTGCGAGGACGGGAAGCTCAATTAGTTATTGGTAATACTTATTTCTTGAATTAAAGATCCCACTTAAAACATTTTCATGTAAAATGAAACCAAGACGAGACCATATGGCTTGCACTATCAAAAAGTTGTCATATCTTAGATAGATCCAAAGTTCTAACTCTACACGCCTTAACTCTACAAGCCCGAACTTCACCAACTCTACGCCTCAGTCAAAATATGTGGCTGAAAAATCATGTCAAAAATGATTGTCATTTAGTATTTCTTTTGTAAATAACTACAACGTTACAAAACATTACAAAACATGTAAAAATTTTTTACGGCAAACAAAATATTAAAGGTACAAAATAACTTTAGTAGCATCACAAGTGGTACATTTTATCTCCTCCCAGCTTCATCTTCTAACGTATACCTAAGGCACCGCAACTCTACGTCAAGGATCCACGTTCACAAATCCTCTCGACGCCGCACAAAGGAGGGTATCTTTAATCGACCGGCTACATCTTATCTCTTACTTCGCATACCAACGTGTACTAAGTTTAATCCAGCTTAGAATATGCACTTGTGTTTACTTCATGTTGGCAATAGATGGCGCTTTTACAAATATTTGTGGACTAGCGGTCCTGAATCCCAGTTATAAAATTTTATAGAATTTGGTACTATTTTTTTGTTTGTGTTATGTTATGTCTTAGTATAATACCTACTTATTTGCACTGGACAGCAATTAATATACAATATTATTAGCTTTAAAAATTGTTGTTGTTATATTTAAGTGATCTTATTAGAAATAAATAAAAAAATATTAATAGATAGAAAAAAACAAATACTAATATAGATAGGACCCAATACACAATTCCTACACGTAAATATTTTGTACTGAATGGGAATTGAACCTATGACACCAGACATTACAGCCGGATTATCTCTGACACTGCGCTAACGAGGTCGCCATAAAACCCAAATAGTTGTGTATTTTGATGAATTCAACTTACAAATCAGAAACTTAGTTGCCTTTTCATTTCTTAATACATTTTATTTATTTTACTACTTATAGCAAATTAACTAAAGTAAAATTTAAAAGCACACCATAAATTTTCAAAACTACACACTGCCACAAAACAATGGTCAGAATATTTCATCGTGGCAGACATCTTTGAAAAAGTACCCTTGCTCCAACAAATTCACCCCTAACTCTGGATTATTGCCCTATAAAACATACATATGTCTTCCCTTGGCCGCACGTGCTTTATAAAATATTTAAATCAACGTGGAAACAAGAAATCTCATTAATACATGAGTACGTAGCATCGCTTGTATGTGGTACTTACATTCAAAATTCTTTATCCAAAACTGCCCTAAATGCTGGTAAATTAACGGTTATGAAATTTTAGATTTTTTTAATACGTGAGAAGAATAAGGAGATTTGGTGTTGTAACCAAATATTTTGAATTTTGTGACGATTAGAGATTTGCTTACCCTAGAGTCAGTCAGGAGTCAGTCAGTCAGTCAGAGTCAGTTTTAAATTCTTTGCACCTTTTTTTTTTTTTTTCCGTGCGGAAATCCCCTCGGATACCACCTGTCGGTGGCATGTCGGACTCGAACCGACTAAAACCGCACGCTGTCTTGGGTACTAATAGCCGGGGAACCAGGTATACCCTAGAAAGGAAGTCCCTGGTACCCAAATTATTTGCACCTCACATCATAAATATAGCGCTCGGAAACATATTAGAAGAAGTTCAGAAAGCTAAAATTAAAAAAGACACGCTAATTATTAAAGAAAAACCGTCTGTGTGCAAATATATAGCTGCTTAAAATTTACAAACAGGTGACCTTCATTTTATAATTTTTACACCCGGTGTTACTCTCACAATTGCACGGATGGTGTGGTGGGTTCAAAATCTACATGGGACGACACTTTTTGTGATCCAAAAATTGTTGTTCTGAGCTTGGATATTCTTTGTGTTCGCTTAAAAAAAAAAAAAGAATTGAGATCTCCTGATCAAGCCCTTTATGTAACAGAGCGTGTAAAGAGATATACATATTATATACATACATACACTCGAAAAACCTAACACTCTTTCTGGCACTATTGGAATTCTCCATATATTATATTTTGATCTGTTACTATACAAGTTTCTACGCAAGACAACAGCACTGCTGACATAAACCCTATACCGACCCGTCTGCCCAGCGTGGTAGAGTAGGCCAAAACCTCATTTCTAAGGAGAGGCCTATGTGCAGCAGTGGGCTATTAAAGGCTGTTGATGATGATCTTGGTGGTACAAGTTATGATAAGTAACCGTGACCCACCTTCCGTGATCCACCGTGATTCTTCTGAGGAACAACGAGTAAAAAAAATATTATAAAAAAGAAATTAATTATTCGATGGTTAGGTTAAGACGTTAAGACAAGCTATTTTGATTAATTTTATTTACTTAATTATTTATTTAATTCTTTTTGCACGAACAAAATTCATTGTACAATGGCGGGCTTAATGCCACATACATTTTCTCCCAGTCTACCTTTGGATGATGGGGAAATATCTGAGTAAGTAAACTAGACATTAAGTTTTGTATGTAACGAGATAATAATAATTAAGGATATGGACAGAACCAGTATGACGGATATACGAATACATACATATTTTCTGGTTAACATTTTTTATTATAACCTTTAAAATGATAATGGAAAGCAATATATGGATATACAATTTTGGTTTTTATCACCCATTCACCGACACCAGTGTTTACAAATCTAATATGGGGATAAGGTCCCGCTCTCAAAGCCATGGTACTGTTCAGTGCAATTTTCTTATGTACATATATGGTATCTCCCCTATGCACTGTCCTCGGGCTATGCTCGTAAATTTGTAATGGGCGTGACCAAACATGAGACTAAATATTTGAATTTTATTAAAATGGTCTTATATGAAACGGGAGCCAACGAAATATCGCTTTTGTAAAGATTGGGGATTGAAGCATGCAATTGTTACCTTGTAGTAATAGCACCCCGCGGTGTTTTTTTTATTAGTTGATAAGAAACTCAGCAGCTTGTTGACACACATGATTATTGTGACACTTACACTAATAACAGTTTCATGACATTTTGTTGACACTTTAAGTAAGAAGTTTTCACACAATACTAAAATTAATCAAAAATAAATTCTAAACCCAATACTAAACCAGATACTAAACCATATACTAAACCAGATACTAAACCAGATACTAAACCAGATACTAAACCAGATACTAAACCATATACTAAACCAGATACTAAACCAGATACTAAACCAGATACTAAACCAGATACTAAACCAGATACTAAACCATATACTAAACCAGATACTAAACCAGATACTAAACCATATACTAAACCAGATACTAACCCAGATACTAAACCATATACTAAACCAGATACTAAACCAGATACTAAACCAGATACTAAACCAAATACTAAACCAGATACTAAACCAGATACTAAACCAAATACTAAACCAAATACTTAATTACCGGTTAATATCTTCACGATTTCGCCGCGATAGGATTTCTTTGACAATATAAATATGTCTATACTTTCGAATCTCTCAGTGTATGTGCGAACTAGACGGTCATAACAGCATTTTTACCATAATTAGTGCGATCGAAAGGTTCGTTAAATAAATGCGTATATCATGCTGTGATTTCCACGTACTGAACGTACTTACACGTAGTTTATCAAATATATTTCAAGTCTTTGCTTATTCCACGGCAACATTACTTTTTTCGGGATAAAAAGTATTTTTATAATTGGTCTAACCGTTTGAGCGTAAAGATGTAACAAAAATACAAAAACACACACAAACTTTGGCCTTTATTATATATTATAAAAAAAGAATTACTACAGAGAAGCCAAACAATTAAGTAGATTTTTATTAACCAATATTTCCACAATTTTTTTCTTTTGGCTTTTTGTTTGTGAGGAACGGGTTTTGTGTCCCTCCAACCGGGAAGATCCTTTAACTAAGCTAGGTGATCATGCCAGCCAGACCGCGGTGGCGGTAATAAACAATATTGTATCCTCAATTTCCGTAACAATTGTTTAGGATACAGATATAAAAAAATAAAATTCAATTTTGTAATCTCTGCATGAAGTATTCATTCTTTCCAAAAATGACAATTTTCATTATTTCCCACACTTCTAAGGCTAGTCCCATGTATCAAGATAAAAGCTGACCTAAAAAGTTTAAATCTTGGTGATAATTTGTTCTACAACGCTATGAAGTGTCTACGCCGTAGCAAAATATTATACGAAACAGATGTCTGTGAGACTTTGTAGCCGAAAGCGCTTCTTGTAAACGTTTGTACTAAAAAAAAAGATGTCAAAGTTGTGAAGAACTTGAGTCATTTTATAGGATTTTTATGTCATTTTGTGGGCTTTTTATCTCCTGCTCACTGCTGTTCACTCGTAAAGTACTCTTTTACACGATTTTTGTTCTAATAGGAAACAAAAGCTGTTTGAACAGTTCAGGTACCTTAAATATTGCATATCTACATATATATATCTGTACGTATATGTAAAATATTGTTTCTTTAAAGACTCAAGTCACACAATTAATATTAAGTCCGTTTAAAGTTTAGAGCTTGAGTTCTGAAAAGCGTACTCCTTCCTAAAAGCCCGCCGCCTGAGTTGCAGACGTTCATGGGCGGTGGTAGTTACTTTCCATCAGGAGACCCGTCTGCTCATCTGCACCCTCTAATATAAAAAAATATCCTAAGTAAAATAGCGATTAGCAGAAAAAAAAAAAACAAATCTATAAATATAGCCCTTTAACAACAGTTAAAGGGCTATATTTATAAGGAGAGGCCCATGTCCAGCAGTGGACTTTTAAAGGCTGTTGATGATGCTGTATAAATAGAGTAAAGTTGTCAAGAGTTGTTAAGCATTACAAGCGAATGCAATACATCACCAAGTCACAGGATGGATAATATACTCTCAAGGATGTTAGGTGTCAGCCCTGTCAGGCTAGAAGCTGACTGTGAACTACTTTTTGGAAACCCTGCACTAAATGGGTGAAATGTTGGAAAATGTGAATATGTAACTGCATTTCCGCCTGATTTAATATTGATGAGTTAAGTGTGATGCAGATGCTGTGATTCTGGTGATTAGAATCCTTGAAAACAAAAACAGCCACTATTTTTCACTTATTTAATGATATGGATGAGCGCTTAGCTAGTAATATAATAAAGTAAAGTAAATAAAGAGAATAATAATATACCACATAGCCAACGCTATCTAGTCCCAAACTAAGCAGAGCTTGTACTATGGGTACTAGACAACTGAAATAAATACATATATACTTTTTTTTGTATACATATTATACACAGAAATATCCAGACCAAATCAAACATTAAATGTTCATGCACACAAATATTTGACTTGAGCGGGAATCGAACCCGCGACCTTTGGAATAGCAGTCCGTTACACAAACCACTACGCCATCCTGTCGTCGTAATGGCTAATAATAATAGTTTATTCATAAAATCGCTTCTTCTGCAGTTTGTTTCGTGGCTCAACACCGTCTCAAGATACAGACTGCTCACTTTCATAGTGTGTTATGAATAAAGTCTCAAAGAATCTTTTCTTATTATAATAAAATGGTTCTGACTTTGATTTCCTACGAAAATATTGCTACTGAATTGTGTATTGCGCCTTATGAAAATTCTTTTTATAGTCCTGCTAATATTAGAAGCAACATGTAAAGAAGTTTTAGTATTTGGCGAATGCCTACTTAAATCTATAAATATATCTAACTATAAATTATATTATTAAAAGATAACAAAACCTGACAGAAACTTAGTATGAGGCTATTTTTAAGTTGTATTTCATCGAGTAAGCATAAATATACATTATTTTATTGATTGACCGGAGTTGTTTTATGTTACTACTACTAGCTATTATACGGAGTTTGGATGTTTTCTAAGTATAATATGTATGTACTTTCAAAAAAAAAAGTATATAAGTATTCTACTAGTCAATCTAGCTTTCATAGTACAAGCCCTGCTTAGTTTGAAACTAGATTTTCTCAATTTATTTTCAATATTAACTTTAGTGCCCGTAGGGCTAATGATACGAACATAATGACGACCGGATGGCGTAGTGGGTTGTGTAACAGACTGATATTCCAAAGGTCGCAGGTTCGATTCCCGCTCAAGTCAAACATTTGTGTATATTAACATTTAATGTTTGATTTGGTCTGGGTGTTTCTATGTATAATATAAATACATATTACTATTTACAAAAAAAAAGTATGTATGTATTTATATCAGTTGTCAAGTACCCATAGTACAAGATCTGGTTAGTTTGGGACTAGATGGCGTTGTATGTATGTGGTAAAAAAAATATATATTAAAATTTGCCCTTCAAACATATAAAAATAATAATTTATTATATATCCTATACAACGCATTTAGACTTCAAACAGTCTAGATACATTTTTCATGAGCACCCTTTGTGCTCCCTGTGCACCCTTTGAGCCAATTACGTTGCGCAAATATTTGCTAATTATTTGATTGCGTTGTAGACCACCCTCGGTATGGGAGTAAATAGAATATTTTTGTACTATACGCATTGCTCAGTAGTTTGACAGTATATAATAAAATTATCGACAACTGTTCCTACTTAAATAAGTATATGTTTATACCTGAAGACCTGATTGGCAGATGGCTAGATTACTGGTATTATGGCTCTAAGGTCTAGCAATATTATGGACTATAATAAATGCATTAGGAATATATCATGTGTCGCGGGGGACTTTACAAACATACATGAACCGGACACAAAGAACACACAGACTCAGAACAACAATTTGTGGATCACACAAAGTGTCGTCCCATGTGGAGATCGAACTCACAATACTCAGCGTAGTAGTAAGTGTCTATGTCAGTCTATGTTATTTTAAAATAAAATGAGTCTTTAATAAAAGAAGTTATAAATTAATTTTAGATTTGATAAGTGGAGTTAAAAAAGCGACTTAGCCGTACGAACACAACAGTCGAAACTTTCGCCCAACGTACAATGCACCATGCATACTGTAGTTCATTATTCAGCAATTATGACAATTATTTAACGAAACTTAGTTCAACTTTGTAAATGGGCATGCCTTAATAGAGATGATTATTGTACAAATTTCCATCTTTACTTCAATAAATACATTTTGGAAGTAGTGGCGTGGCGAACACTTAAACCACTGCGCCATCCGTGCAGTCAAATACCGGAACTATTTCCTTTCATCTTACTTAACTCTATAATCATTCTTCTCATCTCATTCTCATTCATTCACTCTCATTCTCATAATCATTTTACTTAACTCTACCAATTTAGATAGTAAATCTGTAGCTCTGTAAAATAACATCTTATTTATACGAAATATTTTTGCTATATATATATATATATATATATATATATATATCTATTAAAGAAGAAACTGACAGATTCACTGACTGATCGACCAGTGCTCATCAGCTGTAACCGCTGGGTTTAGAAGCATGAAATTTTTCATAAATGTTCCATAGGTGACGTCGATGTGCACTAAAAAAGGATTTTCAAAAACTCTAACCCTAAAGGTGCAAAATGGGTGTTGTAAATTTATATGAAACTTCATTATTTTGTTATTTTTGGTAGTAGCGTTCTCAAACTCACAGCTCTTCAGACACTTTATTAAAAGTAATAAAAACGTTTACAATTTTTTTTATAACTATCCTTAAAAAGGGGTGCAAGTTTGTATGGGGAATCTTTTATGTTGATTCATGGTATCCTCTACGATGTCGATGTCGACCGCGGGCGAAATCGCGGGCAAAAGCTGGTTAATACATATGAAAAAAAAACTTGATAAACTTCAAGCAGGTAATGTTTTTGTAACACCCAATTATGTAAAGATTTACTGACGAAGCCTTTATTTTGTCTTTGACTTGATGATCTTTGGTATTAGTTTTAAATAGTAAATGTTTGGGTTACTAAATAAAACTGATCAGAAAAAGATAACATTTAATGGTGAATAAATAAAATAAATAGACCATTAATTTTGAATCGATTTTAAAAGATGCAGTCAAGTTTCACCCAACTTAAGGTTGACCCTATCTTAAATTAAATGAAAAATATTGCAATCCTAACTATGACAAACTACAATATCAAGAATGCAGCTTCTTACAATCTATCATGACCTTGTGAAGTTTTTTTTTATGGTATAAGGGTGCAAACGAGAAGACGGGTCACCTGATGGTAAGCAACTACCGCCGCCCATGGACACCTGCAACTCAAAAGTCACAAGTGCGTTGCCGCCCTTGGAGTCCCTCCCGCTCGAGTCAGCGGGATTTGGGCTGCGGTAACCTCACTCACTCATTGAAAGGCAAGGAAAGAATTGCTTAACACCGGTTTCCTGTTAGGCCGTGGTATAACTTCGGTCGAGCTGGCCCATTCGTGTCGAAGCTTGGCTCTCCCACGGTATGATTAATAGCAATGGTAGCAAAG